TCTAGGAAAACTGAATATACACATGTAGAATGACAATAGGTGCATATTTTTCACTCACCACAAAAATATATTCAAATGATTCAAAGACCTTAACAAAGGCCTGAAATACTGAACTCTCAAGATATAGGCATAACCAACTGGACAGAGTAAAGTTTGTGAGGCCTCAACCCTACACAAAGAAGTATAGGCACCTGTGAAAATCTGGGAATGTGAAAGATAGTCTTTCCTAGAGAAGAGCACACCAATTGGCTGTCTAGTGCCAAATGGTCAGCCCTGAAAACATATATACAAGTAACATTATACATACCAAACAGGTTATATGTAGGAATATGTATATATACATATATGCATGCAATAACAACTAGTTTTTTTAAAAAAGACTGTAAATTTAAGGGACAGCAGGGTGGATATATGGAGTTTGAAGGGAGGAAAGGAATGGAATAAATACTATATTCGAGTTATAACCTCAAAAATTAAAATTTTCTTTCTGAAAAGGATGTCAATAGCACAAGAAATATCTCTAAAGATTGACAAATAACATTACTGAAAATTAAAAATCTTCTAAACAGCAAAAGAAACTATCAGCAAAGTAAAGAGACAACTTATAAGGTGAAGAAAATCTTTTTCAGCTATAATCCAGATGGGTTTAATGATGGTTTTTAGCGGCGCTCTTACCCTGCAAGGGAAAGTCACGAAACACGACAGAATCCACTAACAAGAGTTTTATTAAGACAAGGAGAAAGGGATAGATGTGATTAGGCCTGCTGAAGGATACATGTGTGAGAAGGGGGCGGCGGGATATGGGGCCTGCCTTTTCAAGGGCCAGCACACACCTGTGCACACAGGCCCACGTGGCTACTCCATGCGTGCACATAGATCACGTGGTCACGCCGCGCAATTATGTGACCATGCAGCCATGGGGCATGGGTTACGTAGGACGTATGACCCGGAAATGACTAGACAGAAATGACTAAGTGTCCTGCCAGGCATGCACGACCATGGGGGCATGGTTGGAATTCCTATCAGTTAATATCTAGAATACATAACTACAAAAACATATATATATATATATATATATATATATATATATATATATATATATATATATATATAAAACTATAAACATCCCCCCAAAAAAATCCCACAACAAATCAACCAGTCAACAAACTGACTAATAAACTGAACAGGCAGTTCTCTAAAGAAGTACAAATGCCCAATATACAGATGAAGAATGTTCCTCATCTTTAGCAGTCAGGGAAATGCAAATTAAAATGACCTTGAGATTCTTTCTTACCTATCAGAATGGCAATCTTCAAGAAAATAAAAGGCAACAAATGCTGCAGAGGATGCAGGAAAGGGAGAGGGAATCCCTTATTCATTATTGGTGTAAATGTAAATTAGTACAGTCACTGTGGATATCAGCATACAAGTTAATCAAAAATAAAATTAGAACTACTATATAATCCTGCTATAGCTCTCCTGGGTATATACCCAAAAGTACCTAAGTCAGTGCATAGCAAAGACACCTGCATATCTGTGTTTATCATAGCATTATTCACAATAGTCAAGATATGGAGCCAGCTTAGGTGTCCATCAGTAGATGAATGGATAATAAAAATGTGGAATATATCATAACAGGGTTTTATCCAGCCATAAAGAAGAATGAACTCATATCACTTGCAGGAAATGAATAGAGCAGGTGATCACCATGCACACCAAAATAAGCAGGCTCAGAGGAATGTCTTCTCTCATATGTTGAATCTAGATGCTTTTTCCATCCTGAAAGTAGAAGGAGAGTTATTAGGGAAGAGAGTCTAGATTAGGAGAAGGAGGAGGGAAGGGGGATGAAAGGGTAACACGGAGGAATACAATCAAAATATATGTTTGTATGGTGTCATACTGAAACCCATTATTTTCTATACTTAATATATACTAGTGAAACAAGTTAAACAACAATGAAAATAGAATATAAGGAATAAAATTGTTAAAATGTAAATAGGTAAGTACATTATACCAATGTTGATTTCTGGGAAATGATATACTTCAGTCATAGAACATTATTACAGATAAGGTGAAGATATTAAATGAAGGATGTTAGGAATCTCTATAGTATTTCTTAAAATTTCATGTAAATACATAGTCTTCATAAAATAAAAGGTTAATACAAAATACACCTTCTCCCAACATGTAGCACACAGAAGAAAGAACCTGTGATCCAGTATGGTAAATTGACCTAGTTGTTATCTATGATACAAAAAGATTGTAAAAGGGACTGGTGAGATGGTTCAGTGGGTAAGGTGCTTGCCTTATAATACTAGCAACCTGAGTTTGACTCCACAGAGTTGTTGTCTACCTCTATATGCACACTATGGTACTCACAACCTCATGCATACATACATCATGCACACACACAATAGTAATAATAATAATAACAACAATCTTGTAAGGTTGTAGAAACTACTATTGCCAGAGTCTACATAGTATTGTCCACAAGTAGCAGAGGCACAACTCATTGGGGAAAATTCTGAAGTTTAGTCCTAAGAGTGACTAATGAGGTAACCTACTAAGAGCTGTCATGAACAGGTCCAGTGAAGTTTCTTGTTTTCTGCAGGAGAACAGCCAAGAGAAACTGATTTAGAACTGGGGGAAGGGTGGTTTCTATTCTGTTGTTATTTCTATTAAACATAATTGTTGTTTTTTTAAAATAACATTTTGGAAAAGGGTGCTTTCATGCCACAGCACATGTGTGGAAGTCACAGGACACCTTTGGGAGTCAGTTCTCTCCTTTCACCATGTGAGCTCTGGGATCAAACTCAGGTCATCAGGTTTGGCAGCAAGGTTTAGTACCTGCTGATCGATCTTGCTGACATTGCAAACAAGTTTTCTTTGCAATCAGAAGTAGGGACAATTGATCTTTTGATGTACTTGCTACTCTGTAGACAGAAAAACACATTTCTATAAGAAAACATGGTAAAAGTTCAGAAAGAAGAAACAGAAGGGCTTGGAGATGTTCAAAATCCTTATTACAATTGGAACTCTTGCTTCCCAGAAAGGATGACCCAAGAAAACTGATTTACACTAAGATGCCTCATAACTTTAGTCATATCTAAGAAAATTTGAGTCCCACTTGCTCATTTCCCTTTTGTCCATTTTTTTCTGCTTCCCATTCTTATTGAAAAAAAGGAACATCTCTTATTCAAGTATTTTCCAGCCTTAGAGCCTTTTGTTGCATTATTATAATAAGAAGGGGAATTTTGGGATCTGAGACTTTTCAAAAAAGTGATTCCCAGAAGATTTCAGATGATGGCTGAGAATTGGTTGACCTTCATAAACACCTCCCCTAATAGCACCCTTTTCATGAAAATTATAATAGAGTGAAGCTTAACTGTTTCAAAAGGTCTATGTGTTAGAGGCTGCATTCTGAACTTGGTAGAAATGGGGGTATGGGGTGATAGAAACCTTAGAGGCAGATCCTGGTGAGAAGACTTGAGGTCACTGATGTCAGGCCCTTTCAAGTCTTGGACGTGAGTTGAGTGGCTTGGCTTTGCTATATACCTCTTCCATATTATGCTGCAACAACCTAAAAGTATGCTTCACATGATACTGGTATTTGCAATCATGGTTTAAGCATACTTGATTCACTTAGACAACATACCGTGTTAGTAGACAGTTAGAAAAGGAAAGCTGTAATTGTTTTGATAATAATACCTGACAAAAATTGTGAAAATTCTGGACTACTCTTCTACTGTGCCTCAAGTCCTTTAATGGCATTACCCACTGTCACTGTCTGTGTTCCCCAGCACTTGTCAGTGTGAGCAAGGGAGACTTTTGCCCAGTCAAAAACCAATGGGAATCTTTGCCACCAACAGGGATATCAGGAGGTGTTAGTGCAACCAGAAACCATACATATTGGGTGTTTCCAGCTATAAACTGAACTTTGCCATCACCTTCTGCCTTCACCTGTCCGTTTGGAGCTTGGCACATCACAACTCTGGTAGCAAATGGATTAATCTCTCAAGCTAGTAAATTTCCACCTGCCTGTGTCCATTCCATCCCCTGCTTTATTCTAGTCCCAATAGTCCCCTCCCCCCACTCCCACACACCGCCTAAAGATAACAAAGGATCAGTGAGGCTCTCTTTAGCTCTCTTCCCCTTGGAGCATAATTTCACACAAAGATTGCTTGCAGTACCTGTTAATTGAAGTCACTGAAGAAGGACTATTTCAAACAATGCTGAACAGAACACAGAAAGGAATAGATTGCTCTTCAAAATCTGATTTCAGGTGTAAACTTAAAAGAACTAATGAGCTTAGAGAAGGAGGAGACTAATTAATTAAAAAGCACTAAATTTCCATTATGGATGAAAATAATGCATAAGGGTCATGCTTAAAATAATCCGCAAGAAAATTCATGGGGCCACAGTGATTAAACCCAGAGGTCAGATTTCGAGAAAAGAGTATCTCCAAAGGTGAGTAAATGGAATTCTTCCCTCTTACATTTAGTTTTCATATGGAAAAGGCACAGTGAGGCAGAACATTTGGATGAAGAATGTGGCCTCCTTAAGCTACTGTTCCTTTTAATAAACATCAAGTCCAAGCTGACTAAAGAGGAAGCTGAAGAAAGCTCTGGCTGTCTGGTGAACATTTGTTGGATGAGGTTGTACCTCCGAGATTCTGCCATAAAATCAGCTAAGCTTCCCTCTGATCTGGAAAGGCTAAACTTTGAAAAGAAAGGCTCCTGCTCACAGAAACAGCAAAAGTCTAAGATGGGTGTACTTGACCAATATGGCCTTGATCTAGATTCTCTTCAGAGCCCTGCCATAGTTCTCAGCCCTATAGCTTGTTACAGCGATTGCCTGGAAAACAAGCCTCTTTTTGAAATTTGAACTTTCATTGTTTGACTTTCAACCAAAGAGCTCTTAGAAAATCTGTGAAGTAGATCTGTGAACTCCTTAACATTGTTATGGAGTTCCCAACCCTGGAAAAAAGACCATAGACTCAATGCAATTATAATGAAAAGATTTATTGATTACCACTAGCAGGACATCAACCACTGAGCCAAATTTCAGATTGCCATGGGAAGGGGAGTGAGGGAAGGAGTTTTAAAGACAAAATCCACAAGAAGACCTTGAGTACTGCACAAGCAAGCCAAGAGCTGTTTGGCTCTACCAAGATTACCTAATCAAGTCAAGGCAACCTGAATGTCTGCACAAGTACGTTACAGAAGCCAAAAAGCAATTAGTCTTAACAAGTAGATGATCATGGCTGTACATTTCTTGGAGGGGGGCACTGAGTTGGGGTTACTGGAAACTTATCTTCCAGGGACTGGAGTCAGAGACAAATGGCTAATGGTACCAGGAGGGATGCCTAGCATAAAATGGACACCACATTTTTAGACACCACAAACTTTTGAGCAAATCTTCCAGGGGATGACAAATTTTTTTTCTGAGAAAATAGTCTAAAAGTTTCAGCTGTTTCCCAGAGGAGACATTGGCCTTCAAAAATGTCAAGACCATTAGACTAGCCTTGAAGACACTCTGTGATCTTCCTACCATCATAATTTCAAGAGCAGATGAGTCATGAACTAGAATTTTAATTTGGGCAAGGTCTAAATATACAGTTCCAGCTGCAGAGGGAATTTACTCACTGTCTACAGATATAAATCCATGGTGGCCACTGCTGTAGACTCTGCACTTTATTCAAAATGAATGGTCACTTAAAGAACCAACTTGGACCCAACAGGCCTTCCTATCTATCTCCTAGATCTCTCTGATCCAGGGCTACTAAGTAAAATGGAGCAGTTGAATAAAGGAAAATAGAAGAGAGGGAACAGAGGTAAAAGAAAGAAAAATTATTTTTTGGGGGAAGATATAAATGCAGGAGGATACGCAAGAAAAGAAGGAAGAAGAAATATGAAGGAGAGAAGATACAAATTTTAAAGAATAGAAACTAACATGAAAAATGAAAAGCAGTTAGTGGAAGATGAGATAAAGTGAAGGGAAGGAGGAGAGTTCTCAGCCTGAAAGGGGGAAAAAAGCCAAGAGTGGCTTGGAGAAGGGAAAAATGAAAGGAGATGAGAAATAGAATGAAAAGATAAAACATTTTTAAATTACATGATGTTATTAATATAATGAGTTAGTAGGATATCACCAAAAGTAAGTCTATCCCACATATGGTATGATAGATTCTGATATCACTTCCCCATAATGTGACAAACAAGTTTACACAATGTGGTATTTTGAATAAAAATGGCCCCCATAGGCCCGCAGGGAGTGGCACTATCAGGAGGTGTGGCCTTGTTGGAGAAAGTGTGTCACTGAGGGCAGGCTTTGAGGTCTCAGATGCTCCAGATGCCACGCTTAGTGTCACTGTCACTTCCTGCTGCCTTTGGGTTCAGATGTAGAACTTGCAGCTGCCTTTCCAGCACCATATCTGTCTGCACACCACCGTGCTTCCTGCCATGATGATAATGGACTAAACCTCTAAACTGTACATGAGCCTCAATTAACTATTTTCCTTCCTAAGAGTTGTTATGGTCATGGTGTCTCTTCAGAGCAATAAAACCCTAAGAGACTCAGCCTGACAGAGGAACTGTGAATTATGACCCTTTAGGTAGCCATGATTCATGCATAGAAGATAGGAGAGATGACTGGAGATACTGGGAGGCTCTGCTGTCTGAGAAAGCTGACTAAACGCAATTCCACAGATCACTTTTAAGCTGCTGGCTAAAGCACAAGAAACCTGGGAAAAATCAGACCAAACCATTACAACACATCTCAAGCTGTTATCCGAGGCTCCCAGCTGCTTCCTATGTCACACAGGCTGCCAGGAATGTCAGCCTGCTCCTCAAACTTCTTGTATCAGTTTACTATTTTGGGATAGGAAAATGAGATACAGTCAGGACACAAAATAATCCTGCAAATGTGACATGTCTGCCCATGTGCTGGCCCTGATAAGCATATGGCCCCATAGGCCAATGTGAGTTAACATAGGAAGGAAGCATTTATCATATGCTTCATATGTTATCATTGTATATGGCACCTCCACAAACAAAACACTCATTCAGTGTGCAGCCAGAACATGCATAAATGGCTGTCTTAACAGTGACAAAGGAACTCTGTTAGTAAGCTCAAGCACCAGGCACTGTCGTTCATTTCCTCTGATTCTCAAGGGACTGGAATGTCTGTTAAGCTAGGAAACCAGTCAAGGAGGAAGAACTAAGCATCAGGCAGAGACAGGATTCTGTCATCAGCATGGCAGGTGCTGAGGGCCCAGCTCTTTCCTCTGTATGGCAGGATCCTCCTCTTCACTGCCCCTCTGCGGAGCACTCATACAATATCACAGTGGCTCGAACTTGATGCTGTCTTGTGCTTTACTTCCTGTCACAGAATAAAAATGAGAATTTACTAGGGCTCAAAGAACGCTAATAAATTTTCAAGCTGTGCTTCTAAACTGTAAGATAGGTTTACAAAGAAGGAAATGTATATTTAATTTGATAAATGAACAAATTATTTATCTATAGAAATTTCTTACCTCGCTGATTTCATCCTTTACACCAAAAAGCAAATAAACCTGAGTCTTCAAACCCCTACCTCAGCCTGCCCTTTTGCTTTTGCCTGGTTCCAGTGATAGTTTTGGAGACAGGCAGCACAGCTTCTTCTTCTACCTTCTGCTTCCCCCATGACAGCTGCAGCCAACCTTCCGTGACCAGCGACTCCAATTTTGCCTGTATCTGGCTAGTTTACAGATTTGCCAATTTCTTGAAACTTTGTGGTTCAAGGGCTCCATCTTGAGGCACATTTTGTTTCTCTCAGTGCCTCCATGGTTAGGGAGACAGCAGAGGCAAAATGAAGAATTTTGCTGTCTAGCACAGCTGACTTATATTTGCTGTGTTTTCTTGTTCACAGTAAAACTTCTGACTACAGAACATTAACTGGGACTTGATTGCATACGACAAATTTCTCTGTGCATTTGATGGCCCCTTCTTAAAAGATTTTTTAAAAAAACAGTTAACAATATCTTAACATGGTAGGAACTGATATACAACTTGAGGTTTACCTGGGTTCTTTCCCCCAGTTGCTGGGAACCATTTTCAGAAACCTCACCATTTGGATAGCTGGGTTCTAAAGGAAGATACAGACATCTGAAACTAACCACTTATAGTTCTCTGTGTGATCTTTTGTAGGATCCTACTTCCAATGAGTCAACCAGAAACCTAGATCAGAATTCAGCTCCCCAACGTGTGTGAGCATGCTTTGTGGCAGCACACTTCCTGGATCAACTAAAAACCCTGCTGTATCTTGATGGCGCTTCCTTAAATTGCTCTTTGGACTCTTCTAATATATCTGTATCATTTCATCTTTGCCGCTGCATTTCCTCAAATAAACAACCTGGCATAATGTCTTTCTCCTGACTACACTCTGATTGACATAGTTCTGAAGCTCTATTTTCTTGCCTTTAGAATTCTGATATTCATATATGTGTTGAAGAACATCTATAGTAAGCACAGAAGTCTGTGATGAATTTTATTGAACAAAGACTAAAATCTGTGTATAAAGGCATACCAGAAGCAGTATAAAATCCTTGATTTATGGAGTCAGAAGAACCTCAAACATGTAATCAAATGAACAGTGCCAAGCAATAAAAAGTTCGAACATCAAAGTTTGCTGTAACTATCAAACTTTAACCAACAAAGTAGGAATGCAGAAAGAAGACCTAAGTGAAAAGAGGAAAGAGAAAGTGGTATTAGAAATTAGATTTCTAGAAATATCAAATTCTTAAATGGATGACTTCAAGCTGAGGGGTAATTTTCAGCTTGGCCCTATAAAGCAAGACTCAGGCAGAAGTGAAAATACCAGCAACTAAACAGCAATTCTCAGCACACCACAGGGAACTCTGTTCCCACAAAGAATAATACAGGAGTAATAACCTGCTCCCTGGAACAGTGGAGAAGCCATTGAGAAGGGCCTGGAATAAAATGCAGCCTTGAAGTCAGGCCAATATTTGAAAGCCAGGGAAAAAGGCAGATGGATAATAAAGAAAAAGAATTCATACACTTGGATCCAGAAATTTCCTCATTTGCATTTTGATTTTGAAATAATATTTTAAAATATTCACTCATTGGGACCAAAGTAATGTGTGGTTTTTGACAATTCCATTTAAATAACTGAGTGTAACTCAGTGGTAGAATGCTTGACTAGTATGTGCAAGGCCCTGGGCTCCACCTCTAGCACAGTAGACTAATAAATAAGTAAATAAGCAGTGGTCTAAAGTCTTGTTTTGTTCATAAAGAAATTCTTTCAAAAAGTTAAACATTTTAAAAACTCAGAGTATTTAAGGACATGATAAAATATTGACATTTTTTGGGCAAATTTAAACAAGTGGAGCCGGGTGATTTATTTAGGAGTAACTTCTAGAAGCAGGAATGAGGAAGGGAAGAGAGTGAGATGGTATAAGAGGAAGAGTAATTTCTGTAATGGCTGCTTCTTAAAAGGCAGTTTCACATGGGGATCTATCTTCCACATTGGGAGCTGCAGAATGGGGATATTTCAAGTAATATAGAATTCCATATATACAGGTTCTTTGGAATCTTCAGCCCTCAGAATCCCAACACCACAACCTCAGTTTCAACACAATTGCTCTTAGTCCTCATTTTCCTGCTTTCCATTCTGCTGGTTGTTGAATCAGTAGATACTAACGATGCAAGCATTGTCATGAAAGATGTGGCTCTCAGAATTCCAAGCACTGGTGCTTGCTTGGGGGTTGTGATGGCTAATTTTCTTCAACTTGATTGAATTAAGAAACACCTATGGGGCATTAGTAAGGCATATCTTTGGGTATGCATATGAGGATATTTCTACAGATGATTAACAGTACCTGGAAGACCCACTCTGAATGTGGGTGGTACTACCTCTTGGGCTAGAGTCCTGGACATAACAAAAAGGATAGATGAAGAAAGCCACCTAGGCATGAGCATTCTTTTTTCCTCTGCTACCCACTCTGCTCCAGATAAGAGCAGCCACTGCTGTGAGCTGCTCCTGCCACCATGCCTTCCCCACCATGATGGACTGTACCCTCAAATTAGGAGCAAAACTGAACCCTTCCTCCTTTAAAAGCCATTAATACAATATATGCTTTAAAAAAGTGGGCAGAGTGATCCTAAAGGGCTCTTCCTAGTCAAACCCTCTAAGATGCCTGGAAAACCTCAGACTCTTAAGTCTGAACCTTGGATTAGGAAACAAGTTTTCTTCACATTGAAACATGCAGCTGTTGTGTTTGACACTTAGAAACAAGACTGGAGAGGTATAATGGCTTAAGTTTGCAAAAGTAATATTTCATACTTTCAGAATTCTGAAACCACATGAAATACAAAGAAGGAAGTTTTTGCCTAGAATCTAGCAAATCACCACTATTTCACAATAACTACTGCTTGCTGAATCATTGAGGAATTTAGTTCTCCATTCATTTATGTAATTTTTCATCTTCTAAAATTAATGTTATTCTTAAGTATCAAATAGTCACAAATTTTAAATTTCAATTGTGGCCAGGTGAACTTAGGAACATATATTCAATGTAACTACTGTTGCTCTAGGACCCAGGCCCTGGGATGCAGCCAGTCCCCAGGAACCCCTAGCCAACTCTGCCCTAGTTGCTGGTCAGCAGGGAAAACTCCTGCAGGCAGCCCCCCAACAAAAGCCCCCATCAGACGCTGCAATATACAAGACTCACACCCTACCCCAATGCCCATCACCTGTGACCCCAGTAACTTTCTGAGACACAGAATCTGCCAGCTCTCGTTGGACCAAGAGTGGCTTCCCGAGACACAGAATCTGTCAGCTCTGGTTGGACCAAGAGAGGCTTTCTGAGACACAAAATCCATCAGCTCTGACTAGACCAAGAGCCCTGATAAGACCAAGAGAGGCTCCCTGAGCCACAGAATCAGCTAGCTTGGATTGGACCAAGAGCAGTTCCCTGGGATACAGAATCTGCCAGCTCCAATTAGACAAAGAGCTATTATTGGACCCAGAGGGGCCCCCTGAGACACAGACACAGCATGCACAGATTGGACCAATAGCAGTTTGCTCAGACACAGGAACCTCTTGCACCTATTGGAGGAAGAGATGGGTAGACGCCAGTGCAAAAAGACATACAACAACATGAAGTGCAATATGACATCAACAGAACCTAGCCCTTGTATAACAGCAAGACCTGAACATCACAATGCAGAAGAAACAGAAGAAAGTGACCTTAAAAATAACTTCATGAAGATACTAGAGGCCTTTAAAGAGGAAAAGGAAAATTCCCTTAAAGAAATTGAGGAAAAGTCAAACAAAAACTTGTATGAAATCAATAAAGAAATTGAGGAAAAGACAAACATAAAATTGGAAGAAATCAATAAATCCCTTAAAGAAATCCAAGAAAAACATGAAAAAGCAATTAAACATGTGAAAGAAACAGTTCAAGACCTGAAAAGTGAAATAGAAACAATGAAGAAGACACAGACAGAATGCTGGAAATATGAAATCTGAGTAAATGAACAGGAAACACAGATGCAAGCATAACCAACAGAATACAAGGGATGGAAGAGAGAATTTCTGGTGTAAAGGATACAATAGAGGAAATGGATTCATCACTCAAAGAAAACACCAAAGCCAAAAAAGTCATAACACAAAATGTCCAGGAAATCTGGGACACCATGAAAAGGCCAAATCTAAGAATAATAGGGATGGAAGAAGGAGAAGAATACCAACTCAAAGGCACAGAAAATATATTCAACAAAATCATAGAAGAAAACTTTCTCAACTTGAAGAAGGAAATACCTATGAAGGTACAAGAAGCTTATAGAACACCAAATAGACTAGACCCCTCAAAAAAGTCCCCTCACAACATGATAATTAAACCACTATGCATGCACAATAAAGAAAGAATATTAAGAGCAGCAAAGGAAAAAGGCCAAGATACTTACAAACACAGACCTATCAGAATAACACTCAACTTCTCAATGGAGACTTTGAAAGGCAGAAGGTCCTGGACAGATGTAATGCAGACACTAAGAGACCATGGATGCCAGCCTAGACTAATATACCCAGCAAAACTTTCAATCACCATAGACAGAGTGAACAAGACATTCCAGGAAAAATAAAGATTTAAACAATACCTACCCACTAATCCATCCCCACAGAAAGTACTAGAAGGAATATTCCAACTCAAGGAATTCAGATACACCCACAAAAACACAGGCAATACATAACCCCACAGCAGTAAATCCCAAAGAAGAGAAATACACATGCACTAACACCAAAAGATAACAGGAATTAACAATCACTGGTCATTAATATCTCTTAATATCAATGCACTTAATTCACCTATAAAAAGACACAGGCTAAGAGAATGGATACAAAATCAGGACCCATACTTCTGAAGAATACAAGAAACACACCTCAACTTCAAAGACAGACATTACCTCAGAGGAAAAAGCTGGGAAGACTTTCCAATCAAATGGACTTAAGAAGCAAGCTGGTGTAGCTATGCTAATATCTAACAAAATAGACTTTAAACTAAAATCAATCAAAAGAGATCAAGAAGGACAGTACATACTCATTAAAAGAAAGATCCACCAAGATGAAGTTTCAATTCTGAACATTTGTGCCCCAAATACAAAGGCATCCACATATGTAAAAGAAACATTACTAAAGCTTAAATCACACATCAAACCCCACACATT